GAAAATCTACAGCAGAGTCAATTGTACAGTAGTGTATTAGTGATGACTAATGCCTTGTCAGCCGCCCACATTGGTTCAGCTGCTCTCAATTCAGTAACAGGCTTGGTTAATGGATTATCTTGGCTTCTTTAATGTTTCTATGTCTGTCAGGATAGCACTATGCTTTTATTTATTCTCTTATTTCCAAGCATATGTAGTGGAAGATTTCAAAGAATAGACAGTTGCATTTTTTGAATGCCTACTTTATACCAAGAAAACTTCCAAGTCTGGTGCATTAACAGAGTAACTTAAAGAGGCATAGGAACTGGGTAGGTTGTGTCCTATTCTGGATCCGGTTGTTACAACAAAATACCCGAGACTGGATAATTTATAAAGAGTAGAAGTTCTTTTAGATTACAGTTCTGGAGGCTTGGGAATCCAAGACCATGGAGTCAACATCTGCTTAGCTTCTGGTGAGAGCCTCGTGCTGCATCAAAACATGGCAGAGGGCCTTGCATGGTGAGGCAGAGAAAGCATGTGTGCTCAGACCTCTCGCCCTCTCCTAACAAAACCACTAGTGTCATCATGGGGCTGCCACCTTCATGACCTCCCCCAAACCCAGTAACTTCTAAAGATCTTATCTCCACATATCATCCTCATAGGAACTTCGGGATTAAGTTTCTAATACATGAACTTTGGGGGACATATTCTAGGAGGTATGCAAATTGGTGTAGGATTGCTGGAACATTAATCATGAGATAAGCGGAAGCTGGACAGTAAGGAAAGAACTAAAACCTAGTGAGGTTTATGCAACATTGAGTAGTTTAGATATCCACACAGGTGACAGGGAGCCATTGACCAAAATCCTTGGCTTGCCAGGAGAAAAGCAGATGGTGGGGGATGCACAAGGAACAAACTAGAAACAAAGCCCGTGGTAGGAAATATATCTAAATTCTCAGAATAACTGAGATGTGGCCTAGACTAGGGTAGTCTCTGTGAAGGTGAAGAGCCAAATATGAAAAGTGAGCTATTTAGAGTAGAATAATAATTTTAAAAGCCTGTGTTGTAATCATTGACAACCACTAGCAGTGACATATTCTTGTGGACTCAGTGCCTGCTGAGTGACCTTTTTCACAGAAAGAGCAGCAATCCTGCCTGCTGTTCCATGCCTGTTTCTACTTGAGACATTGAAGATTTGCATTTTTAATACGCATTGCAAGTGGCTGCATTTCATCAACCAAGGGACTTAGCCCCTAGATCTATGGCATTCACCGCAGTCCTCAGGTCTTAGCACACAGGAGACCATTAACTCCTGGTCAAGATGTTTACAGTTCAGGTGCGATTTTCTGCCAGGTGTTCAAGTCAGAGGTAATGGGGGAAATGATTCAAAAATTGGGCTTGGTGTCAGCCAGCCCTGGGTTTCAATCCCAAATTTATTGCTTACTGCAACTCTCACTTCTTAGTGAAGTTTCATTGTCTATCAAATGAAGATTACAATACTTACTACCTAGACCTGTTATTTGGATTAAATGAGATTCTTGCTTAAATTCATGCATACATGGAGCAACTAAGAGTACACTATGGGTCTAGCTGACTACAATCTGCACTCTTTTTTTGTCTTATTTTTAGTATCTGCCTTATTTTCATTATTATTAAGATATAGTACAATTTTAGTTGATGTTCCTCTTTTGGCCCAAGAATTATTCTGTAGAGGTCTTTAAAAATCTGAGAAGGGACAGGAATGTGGTGCAGTGGTTAAGATGCCATTTGAGATGATCATATTCCATATCAGAATGCCTTGGTTTGAGTCCCGACTCTGATTCTAATTCCAGCTTCCTGCTAATGCATACCCTGGGAGGCAGCAGGTGATGGCTCAAAGAATTGGGTCCCTGCCACCCACATAGGAGACATGGATTGAGTTCCTAGCTTTGGCCTGGCCAGTTCCAGATCTTGTGAGCATCTGGGGAGTGAACCAGAGGATAAAAAAATCAATCTATCCATCTATATCTATGTATCTATCTAACTATCTATCATCATCATCTTTGTCTTTGCCTCCCCAACTTTTAAATAAAATGTTTTTTTAAAAAACAACAAATTCAAGAAGAAAGGCTTTCTTTGGTTTGATTTTGTTAGTTATTTTCCAGTTTTATTATACTATCAACAGGGGATGCTATTTGTATTTAAATTTCTACCTTGTGGAACTTACAGCATTTTCTTGGTGGCCAAATCTATAGTCAATTTTATGGATGTTCTCTGTGTGCTTGAAAATAAGGTAGATTCCCTATTATCAGGGTACAAAGTTTGCAATGTATCCAAAGCCATCTTATTAATTGTGTTGTTTGGGTCTTCTATATCCCTGCTTATCTTTTGTTCTCCACTTCTGTCTTGGACCGAGAGTGGTATATGTTAAATGTTCTAACGTGAGCATGTTTCTGCCTATTTCTTCCTGTATCTTTTGTAGTTTCTGCTACAAAGGTTGCTGTGGTGGTATTTGATATACACTCATTATTGGTGACTGTTCCTTGTGAATTTTAGTTTTAAGCATAAATCAGTCCTTCCTTGTCTTATTATGTGTTTCAGTCTGCATTTTACCTCACCATATACCAAGATCAAAATCAATGCTTTGTGTTGTTGATAGTTAGCATTTTCTTTGTATGCTTTTTGCCAGTTCCTATATTTTTCACCTTTTAAAATCACTTAGTACTAAATGTGTCTCTTGTCATTCAGTGTAGAGTTGGGTTTTGCAGATTCCAAATTTCTGACTGTCCAGCATATAACTGGAGGTGCATAAAATATTTGTTTCCCCTTTCTTTTTATTCCTCAACTATAGGAATGCCTCACTTAGGCTCCAAATTTTGTTAACATTAGTTTTGGACCCATGTGGGCCTGAAAGACCCCTCCTGAGCCATCTGGCTTAGCTGGCTTTTCATTTTCAATTCTGCCTGCAGACCCCAGATCAGGCATTCCCCATCTCCCACATGGGAAGCCCTAAGAGACATCAATGGCAGACTCAAAGAGTGATAATATATAAATTCACAATTTACTTTCCTCTACTGAGTTGATACACAGACTAGAGTTTCTAGCATTTGGATGAATGCTTGATGCTTTCCAAAATACTCTTTAAACTCTAGCTAAATGATTTAGAGGCTTATAAGCTCATTGCTGGAAGAAAACCAAGAAATCATTTACTTAAACTCTCTCCAATATATGAATCACTTCTATATTTTTTAGTTCCTGAATTTGTTTTGGAAATGGTAAACTGAGCCTGCCACCTATTCTTTATGCTTTGAGGTCCAGTTATACTTTATAATAGCTATATGATATTCGGAACTTAGAAAGTCAGCCTCAATTTTTTTGCCTGTAGATTGGAGACAATCATTGACTCACTAACTGAATCCCGTATGTGTAAGGTAATACTGATAAGGAGAATTAATTTCCTTGCCAAAGAGAAACCTCTACTGGACTCCTGTAGATTGGATTCCTGCCTGTATCAATATAAAGCCAATAAAATTATCAGTTCTTCCATTTTTCTAGTAAAGCAGAAACTATCTTTCTTTAATGTAAAATTTCCCAATTATTCAATATGGCAACTAATCCCAACTTCTTTAAAACATTAGACAGATCAATTAAAAAGCACCTGTAGAGTACCACTCTGCAGTTGGTGGTCTAAATCAATTAGCTTAACGCCTAACACAAGACAGACACTTTATCAATTGTGAATTCATCTAGTCTGAAATCTTCTATATTGGATTTGTGGGAGAAAATATTTCATTGTATAGGTAAGACGCCATGGAAGAGAAGAGTCACAATATTCAAGACATCAACTGTGACCCAGGAAAGCAGTGGAAATCAGAGGAGGTCGGAACAGAGAACAAGAGGTGAGTGATTCATCCATGACCCCTGCCTCCTGCATTTGTGTGCTCTGTTTTCTCTTTTGATGCAACTTGCTAGCTTTCTTGTGTGACCAGCTGATCCCTACATAGATATGCCTGACACAGGAGGAGTGGGGGAGTGGAACTGTAAGATCCTGCAGCTGGCTGGAACCAGAGGGCCTTGCAGATTCTTTTAGAGGAGGCTTAATGGTGAGGAGAATGAAGAGACATTGAGCCTGGAGCTAAAGAGGCAACTTTCTCCTTCCTTCCTTCCCTTTGGTCTTTCCCTATCAGCAACTCTGAACCCAGTCAAATATTCCTATTCAGAAGGAATATTCTGAATAGGATCTGTCTTCCCACATGTTATAAATGAGGACCAGTAGAGGTGGTCCTATTTTTAACACTTCAATATGGATGCAAAGGTCACCAAGATTCCCCATTTGCTGACCTAACTCTTGCCTGTCTTCTCTGTATCTCTCTCATTTTCCTTCAAGTTTCATGTTTTCTATTCAGATGAGTCAAAGTAAGATTTTTAGGGAAGAGAGAACCAAAATATGTACTTTACCTTGGCTGTACTCCTAGTACTTACCATGGATTGGGTGATATATCTGTCCTGTGGCATGCAAAGTCATGAACAATTTCAGAAATGGCACTACAGGCTTGGACCAAAGATACTCCTTTCTCTTTCTTGCACACAAGGAGAGGTTTGTAGCAAAAAACAGCTTTAAGCCTTGTCTCACTGAATCTCCAAGTACACACCTGTCACTGAGGCTCATAGTGGCACACTTGCTCGTTGTTATCTGACATTAATAGCAACTATGACTATCGTTCACATTCACGAAAGGTCTTCCAGGGGTACTTCATACCCAAAAATATATCTATGTCAATTATTTGCATCTTACAGATGATAAAATGGAAGCTTAGTGTTTTAGAAAACTTGTCCAACCAATGTCATCTGACTGGCAATGGCAGAGCTCAGAAAGACACTCAGGACCTGATTCCAATTTTTCACCTCTTTCCAGAATCATAGTAAATCTCAGGAAACCACAAATGTTTTCAGAAGCTGAACCCAAGCTGACAGAAACCCCCTTTTCACCTCTGAGGCCAAACTGCTGCTGAGACATTGAGGGGAGATTTAGTACTCCTTACCGGTTCTCAGGGTCAGCCAAAGCCATACTCCGAGTGACGTAGCACATTTTGAGGGGGATGCTTTTCCGGTCTCTATGGAAGGAGAAAGACTGTGATGACAGAGGGTCCGAGGAGCTGCCTCCTAACCGAGGGGACTCAGGTGGTGGCGTTTCCCACCCGATCTCTGACACAGGCGATCCTTTCTTCACATAGGGCGTAGCTTCCCGCATGTACTTGACTGCAAGGAAAAACACAACAATAAGTACTTTCAAGTATCTCTAGACAGAATTTCTGGAACCCCTTTGTTTTTGAAAAACTTATCTTGGAGTGGCAATAAGAGAGGGAGATGTACAGTTTGGCACATGCTCAATTGGATTTACCCATAATGGTGAGTTACAAAATGAGCCAGGGGATTCCAACTCAATCCCATCAAGGTGGCATGTACCAATGCCATCTCACTAGTCCCAGTGATCAATTTCTGTTCACAATTGATCATAATGATAGGACTAAGAGTCAAAAGGATCACATAACCAAAACTAGTGTCTACTAATACTGATAGAATTAAAAAGGAGAGAACAATCCAACATGGGAAGCAGGATACACCGCAGACTCATAGAATGGCAGATGTCCTAAACAGCACTCTGGCCTCAGAATCAACCCTAAAGGCATTTGGATCTGGCTAAAAAGTCCATGAGAATATTTCAGGCATGGAAAGCCAAGACACTCTGGCAAAAAAAAGATAATACCTAAGTGAAAGATCTCTGTGAGTGAGATCCCAGTGGAAAGAATGGGCCATCAAAGAAGGAGGTACCTTTCTCTAAAGGGAGGAGAGAACTTCCACTTTGACTATGACCTTGTCTAAATAAGATGAGAGTTGGCGAACTCAAGAGGCTTCCATAGCCTTGGCAGCTCATGACAAGAACCTCCGGTGATTACTGACATCATAAGTAAGAGTGTCAATTGTTAAGTCAACAACAGGAGTCACTGTGCACTCACTCCTCATGTAGGATCTCTGTCCTTAATGTGTTGTACTATGTGAATTAATGGTATAACTAGTACTCAAACAGTACTTTATACTTTGTGTTTCTGTGTGAAATCTTTACTTAGTATATACTAAATTGATCTGTATATAAAGATAATTGAAAATGAATCTTGATGTGAATGGGATGGGAGAGGGAGCAGGAGATGGGAGGGTTGCAGGTGGGAGGGAAGTTATGGGGGGAAAAGCCACTATAATCCAAAAGTTGTACTTTGGAAATTTATATTTTTTAAATAAAAGTTTAAAAAATGGAAAAAAAAGAAAAACTTATCTTGGACAAGGTCTTAATACTGAACCTCTGAAATTCTGAACAAGATTCAGAACTTCTGTTCCCCTCAATATAATTACCTTATTATTTAAATTATATATCAATGTGGATTTTAGAACTTGCTATTATAACGCCTTGCAGTTGAAAATTACTTCTAGCTTTGTACAACTATGACAGGCTTTGCATTTCCTGTGTAAAAGCTTCCATTTCTGGTTATAGAAAGCTGGGAACAAATAGGCAGAGATTGAGGAAGCACAACTTAGGTTTAAAGACATATGACTTTGTATAGAAGGAAGGATGGATCCAAGAGGCCACATTCACTACCCAGGACACCTTTTTTCTGTTGAGAAGGAAGGATAGTACTAGAAAAAAATCTATGCAAAAAAATACAAATAAAACATACTTTATAGTGGCACAAAATTATAAGAGAAAAAGCAGTGCATATAAGAGCAAAAAAATAGGTTAAATAGGTTGTAAAACTTAGAGGCGGATGCTGTGTCTTAGCAGGTAAAGCCAACACTTGCAGTGTCGGGATCCCATGTGGGCACCAGTTTGAGTCCCGGCTGCTTCACTTCTGATCCAGTTCTCTACTATGGCCTGGGGAATCAGCAGAAGATGGCCCAATTTCTTGGGCTCCTGCACCTGTGTGGGAGACCTGGAAGAAGCTCCTGGGTGCAACTCCAGCTGTTGCAGCCATCTGGGGAGTGAACCAGGAGACAGAAGCTCTCTCTCTCTGCCTCTTCCTATCTGTAATTCTCTGCCTTTCAAAAAGCAAACTTTTTAAAAAATCTATATAGTCATTTTTTAAAAAGTAAGGTAAACAAATGTGTTTATGTGGAGAGACCCATTAAAAAGATGATTTGTAGAAAAACCAAGTAGACAGAGGTCAACAGCCTATAATCTTTGAATAGAAAATCAAGAATATGCTAACAGATCTATAATTGGCAGAATTTGGACAGAAATACAAGAAAAATATTAACAATAGGTAGCTTTGCAAAGAATTAAAAGTGAAGGAGGAAAACTTTTGACAATTTATTTATTACCCTTTATAGAATTTTTGTTTAACTATGTGCACATATTACTTTACAGGATTTAAAAAAAAACAGGCTTAATTTAAAAGCAAATGGAACAGACTGCATTTCTGCTCTTTGATATGTTTGCCTCGGTATTAAGAAGTTATTTACCAATTCTGAATTTGAGCAGCTTTTGAGTTGATAAGGCAACCAGATTCTTGGAACACGTGACATGAACTTCTCTATTTTACTCTGTCACCTGCATACTCTGGTTCTCTACTGCATAGGGGGATGTGGCTAAGTATCCCACAGGCATTTGTCACACAAATGGCTGTGTTGGAATGTGTGCGCACTAGGAGGCATTTCTTCCAGATTGATGGGTCAGTTTCTATGTTTATGGAGACTACAGAGATGTATAATATGTAGGTCTCATACCTGGATGTTACAAAATCATGGGTGATTATAGTTGGTCTTGCTGTCTCATCCAGATACCTCTTGCCAAATCCTAGCTACTGTGTGCTGGTAGAGAACAACTCATAGCTGCTCTCTTCTTTGGGGAGCTGTCCTTGGCCCAGAAGAAGTCACCAAGCCTGGGAGACTACAGAGTTGCTGACCCCCAAGACAGAAGCTCTACTTCTAGGGAACCCCAGCTGAGAGAAGGAGACATGACAAGTCAAAATAAGATGAGTTGGTTTTTATAACAGGGATAAAAAAAGCAGCCTTTGAAGAACCTATGAATAATAAATGAATCCAGGAACATAAAAGACAGGTCAGGTTCACAACAATTTAATAAGCAGATCAAATATATTCAGATGTATGTAATATGGATATGCACTCATATTGGAGACTGCATCACAGATATTAAAAAATAACCTTAACACAAGACAGAGGGAAATTCACTTAGTACCAACACATATTTTAAAAGATCAACTGAATAGAAATGCAATTAGAAGGAAATAGCTCTACACTTGCCCCAAACCTGGTAGCACAGGTTGTAATTACATAGGAGAAAGATTATTCAGACTATACATGTTATGGAATAGTGTTTATTTTTGGAAAATATATTTTAAGAAGAATACAGACACACCTCAGAACAAATGCAGAAAATTTAGAGGGACAGATTTAAGCTGTCCAAAGCTGGAATAAATAGAAAACTCTTTTGAAGATTTTTTTTTTTTGCCATCTCTAAAATCATTTTAGTAGAAGTTAGCACACTGCTCAGCTTTGTATACTATAGAATTATATCTCTTGATATGTTTGAAAATCAAGTATTAGCTGAGATGGGTTGGAGACTTTTCCTATGACTTCATGATTGTCCCTTGGCTGGAGTGGGGGATGTGTGTTTTAAGAGGGAAGGATGCTTCACAGAGTAGGGGGCATTTTCACTTGGCCTAAAAGGGTGACATGGATTTTAAAAAATCAGAGATAAGAACAATCCTTCCTTTAATAAATTATTTTTTTTGACAGGCAGAGTGGACAGTGAGAGAGAGAGAGACAGAGAGAAAGGTCTTCCTTTTCTGTTGATTCACTCCCCAATGGCTGCTGTGGCTGGTGTGCTACGGCCAGCACACCGCGCTGATCCGAAGGCAGGAGCCAGGTGCTTCTCCTGGTCTCCCATGTGGGTGCAGGGCCCAAGCACTTGGGCCATCCTCCACTGCAGTCCCGGGCCACAGCAGAGAGCTGGACTGGAAGAGGGGCAACCGGGACAGAATCCGGTGCCCCGACCAGAACTAGAACCCAGGGAGCTGGCGCTGCAGGCAGAGGATCAGCCTATTGAGCCATGGCGCCAGCCCCTTCTTTTATATACTATACTCTGATGCACAATTTTTGTAATTCCATAGGAAAAGAAACTCAAGCCTCAGTTTGGAAGGGAGATAGAGAAGGAACACTTACTATATACTTAATGATATGTCAGGTATGGAACAGGTGCTTTACATATCTGCCCACATTCAAGCTTAAAAATAACACTTAAGGTCTCATTTTACACATAAGGAAACTTAGGCACTTGAGAAGAGATGAGCAATGTATATTTTCTTAATTGAGTGGTCATGTGTGAAGAAGCAATATAAAGATAAATTGATATTCTTTTCAACTTCTGCTAAAAAGAAATGCCTCATAGGGCTAGTCTACTTCTTGTGCACAGTAGCAGTTTTACAGATTATGCTTTTTAGGTCAGTATTATTATAGATATCAGCATACCACCTGACAGATTTGGATCTTGTTTTACAGGGAGTAACGACAGTCATGGTGGCCTATGAGTAAGATGGTGGTGGAATGAAAGACTAGCTTTAGTGAGAAATGGAAACTGAGATTGGGAAAAGATATTAGGAGTAGAACCACTAGTTCTAAAGCCACGTTGTGAGGGGGAGTTATTGATGGAGATAACCCAAGGAATGCTCTAAACCTGCATATGCTATAAAGAATCACAGAAATGTATAGTTTCATGGGCAGAAGCATCGAAAATGAAGCACATGTGAACCTGGAAGTAGACATTTACCAAATACTCACTCCCTATTTTGGTACAGCATTAGAGGAATTTACAAAGAAGAGAAAATGAGAACACAGCAACGCCTTTAAGAAAGTACACTTCACTGGGAATAATACTCCATAAAAGTATTAACTTACCAACTGAAAATAAAAGCAGAGAAAATAAAATTACAAGTAAAACGTGATAATTATTCATTCATTCAAAGTTTATTGGTCAGTTTTCAGAGGCTGAGGATTATGAGATAAGAAATAGTCCATGATTAAAATAAGCTTTAGCTACAAAAGGAAGAAGGGAAGTAGATGACATGACTGCTTGGGTTAAATCTTAAACCTGGTTTAAAAAGGCTCCAAACTTTGGAAGTCTCTGAGGCTTTGAAGAATCAATGCAAATCCTTTTTAGAAACTTAATTCTAGCCTTTTAAAAATCTCTT